CTGAAAAGTTGTACGAGAGGTACTCAAACGACTAAAGGAGAATGATTTGTATCTGAAGCCCGAAAAATGTAGCTTCGAACAGTCAGAAGTCGAGTTCCTCGGGTTGATAGTGGAAAAGGGTGGTGTACAGATGGACCCCGTAAAAGTAGAAGGAGTAATGAAATGGCCTGTACCCAAATGTGTTAAAGATATCCAAGCATTTATGAGTTTTGCCAACTTCTACAGAAGATTTATCTTCAGGTTCTCAGACATTGCCAGACCAATGAATGATTTATTATGGAAAGATGTCAAATGGGACTAGACGGAGAAACAGCAAGATGCTTTCGATGAACTGAAGTCAAGGTTCACATCGGCTCCGATCCTAGTAATGCCTGACATTGAGAAAAAAATGAAGATAGAAACCAATGCCTCCGATTATGCAACAGGAGCGGTTCTATCTCAACTAATGGAAGATGACCTATGGCACCCCGTAGCTTATTACTCAAAGTCAATGAATGATGCAGAACAAAATTATGACATCCATGACAAAGAGTTATTAGCAATCATTCGAGCGTTGGAGGAGTGGAGGCATTATGTGCAGGGAAAACCTCACCATGTGGAGATCTGGATGGATCATAGAATTCTCGAGTACTTTATGACGAGCCAAAAGTTGACAAGAAGGCAAGCCAGATGGAGTTTGTTCCTGGCGGAGTATGAATTTACACTCCAACATAAGCCTGGTGTAGTCAACGATAAAGCCGATAAGCTTTCTCAGAGAGAAGACCACAGGGGGGGGTAGAAAACGACAATTCTGATCGTATTTTGTTAAAACCGGAGTTTTTCACTGTAAAAGCTGCTAAAAGGGGTCAAGTTCTAGTGCAAGGAGAAAAACAATTGCTGAGAAAGATAAGGCAATGCACAGAACGAGAACCTGAAGTCGCTAAAGCGCTACAAACGCTAAAAGCAGCACCGGTACAATTGCGCAGAGGAGTCAAAGAATGGAATGTGGAGGATGGATTGGCGTTATTCCGAGGATTGGTTTATGTTCCAAACAATAAAGAGATCCGCCGAGAAATATTGGAGTTGCTTCACGACTCTCCACCGGCTGGACACCCTGGATGTGCCAAAACCTTAGAATTGATTTCCAGAAATTATTGGTGGCCTTCAATGACGAAGTATGTCCACGATTACGTAGATGGCTGTGATAGATGCAGAGCAATGAAGATTCACCCAATGCAACCACATGGTCCGCTTAAACCAAATGAAATACCAGTGGGACCTTGGCAATCAATCACTTGTGATTTGATAGTAGATTTGCCTAAAAGCGAAGGGTTCGATTCTATCTTTGTTGTCGTTGATCGATACACGAAACAAACGCACTACATGCCCACAAAAAAGGAAGTTGATGCTTGAGGAATTGCAAAACTTTTCTTAGATAATGTATGGAAACACCATGGAACTCCGAAACAGGTGATATCGGACAGAGGAACACAATTTGTCTCCAAATTTATGGGACAAGTGTCAAAACGCCTAGGCATAAAATGGAACATGTCAACGGCTTATCATCCTCAGACAGATGGACAAACAGAGAGAATCAATCAAGAAGTAGAGCAATATCTGAGAATGTTCACGTCTTACCGCCAAAATGATTGGGTAGACTGGCTTCCAATAGCAGAATTTGCTCACAATAACTCTGTCACTGTAATGGGTCATAGTCCATTCAAAGTACTCTATGGATACGATCCAGAGTTTACTTTTTCACCTATTTCCAATTCTAAAGTACCTGCAGCCGATGAACGAGTGGATGTAATGAAGGAGGTGAAAGAGGACGCAGAAAGTATGCTGCGAATGACAAATGAACGGATGAAAAGATTCTATGATAAAGGAGTAAAAGACGCACCACAATTCAAGAAATGAGATCTGGTCTGGCTCAATGCCAAAAATATCCATCAGAAACAACCAAATAAGAAACTCTCCGATAGAAGACTTGGTCCGTTCGAAATGCTAGAGAAGACGGGTGATGTAAATTACCGCCTAAACCTTCCAGCAAAATATCAGATTCATCCAGTATTCCACGTAGAATTACTCACTCCGCATTCCCCCTCGATCTTAACCCAAAGACCTCCACATCATCGTCCGCCGCCAGAGATCGTATCAGAAGGCGATTCCGAATGGATAGTACGAAAAGTCCTAGACTCGAGACTGCACAGATCAAAACTCCAATACCTAGTAGAGTGGGAAGGATATCTGATAGAAGAAGCGACATGGGAACCTGAGGAAAACCTTGAGAATGCATGGTTGAAAGTTCAAGAATTTCATCAGCAAAATCCGAAGGCATTAAATCCCCACAAAATTAACAAATCGGTGTTTGAAACTCAAGAGTTTTTGGAATGGCGCAAAAAGTTTATTCGTCCAAGTTTCATTCGCGATGATGCTCATCCTAGAGAGGGGGTAATGTCACGAGTTCCAAATACAAACCATTATTCATTCCTAAATTCTAAGTCCTTTAAACACCCAGTCACAGCGCCTGTACCTAAGAAAATGTTTACTGTTGAAGAAGTTCCTATTATTGCGTCCATTGTAGAATTACCAGAGTCATGTGACTTATCAGACAATGCCGAAGATATTGACGTCATACCTCGCGACACTCTTGGAATGTTCCAGAGTCTTACTACAGCTGCAATACATGTTATGACATCATAGTTATATATAGAATCGTACGATACCTTTTAATTATTCTGATTGGTTAGCTAGTTCATACTCAGTTTCGATCTCAGTTTCAATATGTGTATATAGGTAGCTCGACGTAGTTAGTAGTTCTTTAGTTCAAACCTCTTGTATCTCCTAGTGAGCAATCCAAGACGTACCTGCTGCCTTATCTTCTTTGTGATCATCTTGTTGTTTGAGTCCTAGTCTCTGCCCTGTGTTAATTCGTTTAAGGGGTTGTGACAGAACCCCCACACTCCATCCCGATTGATCATGCTCTCCTATCTTCACTGCCGATCCCAATTGAGCCCATCATTACGGCACTCGTTCGCATGGCGCCAGAGGCTTGGGGCGCTGGGAACCGCTCTATCGTGTACGCTCACACCAACTCGATGTATAGATACCCCTTCTGGCTAATTGCATTTTGGGATCACGTCGCCAAATATTTGCTTACACGAGCGTAGTCCAAACATCCCGAACACCCAACTGTCAATTTTTACGACCTTGACACTGAGCTGTTTGGATCCGAAGCAAAAGAGGGTAAACGACATCATGATGCGAAGAACAGCTTGCTATCAACTGAAAGTATTGAAGGAGGTGAAGAAATTGAAGACGACAAGTCCAGTATGTGGTTGGATCATGTGCAAACGAGTTCTGCGGCAGCCATGGTGACAAACACCGACTTCGACATTGAATCTGAGGTAGATTTGAGTGCGGATGGTTTGTTGGCAGTGTTGGCAGAATCGCAACCTAACGTGGACAGCGCAGGGAAGGGCAAATGCAAGGCTGAGGCTGAGGATACCAATGGAAGCAATGACGAGTGGCCGGAGGTATGGGAATGAGTGTTTTTTGTGTTGGCTAATTAGCTAGGATTAGTAGCGAGTTTTTCGCCTGCTAAAAATCAATATCACGTGATTGGCTAAAAAGCAGCTAATAATCCGCTAGTTAATAACTCCCCCAGACCTACCTGGCTAAAAAGCTTGCTAATAATTGCCAAAATACTTTTATCCCGAACCCTAGTCAGATTCTAATTTGCGTAAACAAGGGTGCCCGAACAGACTCTAAGTCCTCTACAGGTTTACTTCCAATGCTAAGCACAGGCTGTGCAGATCGAGCGCCCAATTCTTCTCACGATATGTATAACTTCTTCATCGACAACAAAATGGTTGCCAACCTGTGTTTATAACTGGCTCGATATGATTTCCCGGTCTTGATCTCTGTTCCAGAGCTACGTATCGGTTCAGAGTCGAATAGGATGGCCAGATGTTTCGCACTTTCTTCAACCCTTATTCCCAATGTCCTACTCTGGTTCTTCATTATGGCTTCCCCAATAGCAGCATGGAATTCCTGGCGGTCCTACTCCGTGATTTACCCTAATTACCTTGGTTTGTCTATTTGATGAATTGAAGGTCACGCTATGCTATTGTAAAAGAACTGAGTGAACTCTACCGTTCTGGCTGGATCGTTGCTTAGGTTCGTACGCGCCACTGTCTGAACAGCTATAGGAGATCTCATGCAGAACCCGTGCAAGTGCAGGTGACAGAGACTGGCTTGTTTACGTGTCGGTTTATTCTTCAAACGTTGACGACTCGGTGGATGATCTATAACTCGAAGACTTGTCAGCATTGTCTCCTTCGCTGAAAAGCTTGCATAGGGAGGTGTGTCTCGGCTTCTCCCAATCTTAGTATGATGTATTCCACTGAGATCACAAAGATGGTGGGGAATCATACCGTCTTGAATGCTTCAAAATTTGTAAGCCTGCACACGATTCAAGGCCTTGTTGCCTTCATTTATGGCAGTGTAGGTCATAATGCCATGTATTGTTTCTGTTCCCACTCAGAGCACTGATGTCTGTCCTAGTTCATATCCCATGATTTCAAATAAGCCTACCTGTCACAATTGTCATGCCACCTAGTGTGTAGCAAATCGACCACACGCCGCAGCCGTTATCTGCCTTGTGACAAAAAAGTAGAATATCAGCAGCCCGTATCCCGTACACACTTATACTGTGAAAACCCGCCCACCCTCTGACGCCTCCCTAACATAATTCACCTCCAACCAATTGAAATTAGTTCTCAGAGTGCTATGTTGAGGTCAGAAATAGTATTACAGTTTATTTGAATCATATTGGTCCGCACAATACTACACGTTGGTGAACTAGTGAAGACATACTATACAACAACCGCAAGAGAGTAATAGAGCACTAAGAGTTGCAAGACATTGCTTCCCAATTTTAACCACCTGCAGGCTGAGTGGGTACGCAGCAAACCCAGAGCAGGAAACGAGCCCGCCATCCAGCATGTCGTATGGTGATATCATGACTTGTACCGGCTGCCCCTGCAGTACCAGTAACACCAGGAGACGTCGTGGATGTCGTGGCAGCAGTAGCAGGTGATTGCTGTGATGATGACATATTGCTTTGAGTCGCCGTGCCGCTTTGTTGCTGCGTGGTAGGAGGTTTGGTAGGTTGAGAAGATTTCGCGGAGGGCTTCTTTCTTGCGTGGTAATTCCTCTGCGTCGACATGAGACTACAAATATACTTGAAAGTGAAAAAAACGCACAGGCTTTCCCGCTGTTAATGGAACTTCGACTACTCGCGGCAACCGGATACCCGATCTGTCTCGTTTGCGTAGCATACCCGAGACAAAATTTTGAGCCCAACTGATAGGGTTGCGACTAGGGTGGGTGGGCTGACGTGGCGCTGTTGTTGAGAACTGTAGACATATCGGTCAAGGGAACCGCTCAAGTATCGACGGGGATCACGTACATCATCGAAAAATCCTTGCGGTACTCGACGAACGCCTTCAATTTTTTGGGCTCGTCGTCGTGTAGCATCAGCCTTGGGTGTCGATCAAAGTCATGCATAATGTCGAGAAAAATATCACATACATTCAACATTGATTTGTTGATGACATTCTCAGGCTGTAATGGACAAATATCAATGGGTACTCAGGCTGTTGAAGAGACCCGATACAACATACCATCTGAAAGGACGGAGCAGATGTATTGTCAGTGTGATTGAAAATTAGATGAATCAGATTGTCAAAGCCTACATAATCCAACAGAAGGTTATCAAGACCAGCTTCTTTGATTATAGCGGAAATATCCCATGTGTATATGCGGCCGTCGATACAGCCGGTGATGAGAAACTTTCCATCTGCAGAAAAAGCCACGCCCTTCACCGACTTTTCATGGTGGAGGGGTGGTCCGATAAGCTGATCGTTTTCAAGGTTCCATATCCGTGCTGTACTGTCGTTCGATACACTTGCGAGGATGCGCTCATTCGCAGATAATATAATCTCAGTAAGTCTGTTGTGCCCCTCGAGAAAAGCAGTTTGGGTCCAAGTAGTGGTCTCAAGCTTCCTGATTCCGCCATCCATGGTGAGGATAAGTGTCTTTCCCGGACCATCAATGGAGGTCCATGCAATGCGCAAAACTTTTCCCTCGATTGTTTTGAGTAATTCGCCTGTGTTGGCATCCCAGATTTTGAGCCGGAGTCCGCTCGTCGCGATCATCGTGCCATCGGGAGAATAGCAAACCAAAACAGGCATGTTTGATGTTGCCTTGATTGGTCCGACAATGGTGTCTCCGCTTTTGACATCCCACACTCTCCATGTATGATCCAAGGATCCGCTCACCACTCGCCCTCCATCTGGACTCCAGCACACAGACCACACCAACCTTGTGTGACCTATCCATTTCTTGACAACCTTACCCGTGTCGATATCCCACAATCTCACTGCGCCATCATTACTCCCGCTTGCTACCGTTGTGCGATCCGGTGACAATGAGATGGTGGCCACTACTCCACTTCCTTCATCCTTCCAGGCATTCCCGACCTGTGTACCGCTCTCCAAGTCCCAGACTCGGATCGAACCATCGCTTGAAGAGGTGAGAATCCGCTGTCGGCGACTGGGTAGCTGTAGGATGCCAGTGACACCTTTAGTGTGTCCTTGCATCTTCTTGATATGCTTTATCACTGGTTTCTCAGGCTCTTGCCTTGCAGTGGCCATTGAAGACATGTTTTTGACTTGGGGGCTTCACCTAATGGACGATTGCAGCTCTGACCCATTCAACAAATTACATCACTCACTCAACAAATTGTGTACAGAACAAATTGAACGCATGCGGAGTGGGAATTGCAGTGGAATGGACGTTTCACTCGATAATATGGCATTAAATCAGAAGGTGCATCCTGGAAGCATGCTCATTGCTGATGAAGTCTCGTTTTCTCACATTGTTTCTTCGTCGATCCCATCATTCAGGCAAGCTGTAGCATGCATACGCATACAGTGGCGCACCGCAAAGTTCAAACGTGACAGTGATTCAATTCTTTTTCTTTTAAAATTGCATGTGTCACATGATGTCTCACAATCCCACGCTACCCTCGCTTGGAGTTGCTCCCTTGTTGCTGGACGGCGACAATGCAACATGCCCATAATTGTTTACTTCCTTTATCCTTCCATGACTCTCCGATTTGCGTGGTGCTGTCACTCGAAGTAAGCTATTCTCTGAACAGGACATGATGCATGATCCGCCGTCTTCCGGGCAGCCTGCCGCCTATGACGTCATTTATGAATTCAGTTTGTCCGAGTCTCAACGAGGCTTTGTCGCTATGAATTTACCTACTTCGTAGGGGTGGGGGAGCTCGCGTATTTTTTCTCTGGCACATACTCAATAGCTCCATTAATATGGGCAAACATTAATCAAAAAGTTGCCATTGACGATTGATACTGAGAGAAACTGCAATGTTCAGCCCACAGATCTACAGAAAGAACGCGTCAAAATTAATACTGAAATGGACCGAACATATGTTCAAAATGTTGGGTCGCTAACAAAGTCCTGTACTTAAGGTATGTCTGTCTTCCGTGTTGCATCCTCGTGTTCGCTTCACAGCTTGAGAACGGGCTGTGTCCAAGTCTCGTTTTCGCGCATGCTTGAAAATCGGATCCAACTTGTTGTCGTATCGAGAGAAAATGACCGCTAGGAAACCATGATGTCTTTGCCTCTACTCGGGAGAGCCAAAATGACTTTTGACTTTTCCCAACATTGTCACCGAATGCTCACCGAACATGCGTCATAGACCAGCATTGAGCATTAATGCATATGTCATAATGTTTCATGTCACAATGTGATGCCCTTCCACCTGTTGCGCTCTACTGACAGGGTGAGCCTCTTTTTTGGTTATGCTTGTGATGAGGATGCTAATGGTAATATGGTGCTGTGGGAGGGTGATCGATTAATGTTTGGTGGCGAAGTCGCTTCGGCCAATTTCAAGTTGACTTTACCTTCGACAGACTGAGTTGGATTATGTTTGAACTTGCGCAGAAGGTAGGACTTCTTTTATCATCATTTGCCTGTGCACCTTTGCTCGTCAGATGACATGCTCTAACATGGTCAACCCAGACTTCAAATTGAAGACAGATGGCGCCATTCCTTTTAGCTGCTCCTGAGTGGGCTTACTTTGATGTTTAACGCTTCGACTTGCCCTATAAAAGTGAACAGAAAATCTCGAGACCTCCATCGTCTCAAGTTATACGAGATATCTGCATCAGACATCTCTACAATGAAGGTTACTTTAATTGTCACTCTTCTCTCTGCCTTCGCCCTCCCAGTGTTCGCAGACTCCGTTTTTGTTGTACAGAACGCTAATTACACCAACCCCAACGCATCCCTCTCTACCGTCACTTGCTCGCGTTTGTCACTGCGTTACGCCAACTTTTCCTCCCTGCCTTCCTTCCCCAACATCGGAGGTATTCCAGGTGTTGTCTCGAACTCCACCTTATGCGGCTCCTGCTGGAGCCTTACGCCTGCCCCACCCTGCAGCGGCCTAAATACCCTCTACTTCACCGTTATCGATAACGATTCCAGTTTCGTCGTTGACACTGCTAAAGACGTTAACGCCACCGTATACGCTATCTCCCCGCAGGCGTACGGCAACTTGACTCACGCTTCCTGCAATGTGAACGCAGTTTATGCCGAAGCCGCTCAGGTCCAAGCTAGCATGTGTGGCATGTAGAGGCGAGTGTGTTTCATCCTCCTTGTTTTGCAAAATTAGAGCTCTGATCCGATGTTCAGGCCGTACAAGCTGCCTAGATGATACTGAGACTGGGATGATTGATGTTATCGGAGAAGATCTACAGGTTTTTTTTGGTTCTCCAGTGGGGTTGCTTATATGTTGTAGTTTGTGACTTGGAAAGCGAGGTGTGATGCTTTTGACAGGGTCTCTGTCCGTATTTGTTACACTTGATAGTAGGATCAAACGCACCACCAATTTCGCTTCCTATGTTTGACCATACCGGGACACTTAACCCGGGTAAGACAGCAACGCCTATCAGTTCGTACAATCATCTTGCAGCTTATCTTTTTCCACTGAGGGCAGTCTGGAAATAATATTGTTTACCTGCATGGTGCAGACTTGTGCATGCAAGACATTTACTAGATCTAAACAAAAATGACAAAACAACGTTAGGTCATTGATACTCATCACAGCAGTGTTCTGCCGGTCAGTGTACGTTTATCAAAGTTAACGTACGTTCAGCCGCGAACTTTCCCATGAATGCAAGTGAACTGAACTCGTGCAGTGCCAGATGTCCTGCTTGAATATTAGATAATCATATCTGATTGGACGATGAAGCAGGTTCAAAGTGCCGCAGTACACGGTGCGTCAACAATCGCAGAATGGATAGTACTCGCCTACTACTACTATAACATCTGGTAGCACTGCTCATTTATCTACTCGTCAAGATCATCATCAACTTGAGGAAAGTCTGGATCATCAATTCCCTCGGCATCTAAGTCAAGAAGCTCATATAACTCAAGCTCAGCATCCAAACCTCGAATAGCGACTTTATAAAAAGATCCCAACCATTCCTCCGCACGAGAATAGTCGAGTAAGTCACTGATAGCAATGCGGGAGAATGAACCACCGGCACCGGCAGCACCAATGGGGACTGAGCGCATTGATTCTGTGGTGGAAATCTCCTCCTCCTCCTGAACAGCTCGGATAAGGTCTGTTGCAACATCACTTATCCCTCGCCTCTCGAAAGCGAGGCTGCGTGGCTCCCGTTCGCTGCTTTCTCCTGATAGATTGTCGCCAACTGCATGAACTACTTGAGTAGGCTCTGCTTTGTCAGTGGCCTCGGTGTCACAGTACCGACGTTGAAGCCACTTCTTGACCACATCGTTGCGTACATGCTCTTCGTGAACATACATCTTGAGTTCTGCCAGAAGGGTGAGTGTCTCAGTTGAGAGCCGATTGCGCCATTTTGTATTCCAGCCGTGCTTGCGAACGGACATCCTCAGAGTGCAATGCACAATCACGCAAGTGACATAATAGTGTTGTCGGTCGACTGATTAACCAGGTGCGTTGGGGATCATTCGGGCCACTAGCCCAAACTAGTACATTAAGTTAGTAACAGAAAGCTATAAAACAAACTTGCGTACGAGTGCCTGCTATTGCCACTTCGTCCCTTGGTGCATCTCGCTGGCCCAAGTGTACCTGCTGCTCATCCATTGCCTGCTCATGCGCAACACGTTGCTCATAGAGCCTTGCACACACTACCTTTGCCTTTCCACTGACCATCGAAGCTGGGTCTTTGACAGCATAACCTGGGTGCTCCACGAAGTGATCCCACCACCATCCTTGGTTTGATCTCTTGCCGATCTTCATGGTGTGTCAAAAGTCGGGAGTCCATCTTCGAGTTCTAAGCCTTAAAACGTACCCTTGAACCGAACACACGAAAACCATGCGTTTATGTGAGTAATGATATGTGAAGCGGCACGAGGATAATCAAATATTCTAGCATTGACCAGATATAGTATAGTTCGTTACAGTAGGACCAGGAAACTCCTGAATTTTCAGTCGTGTTCAGATGAACGTCGACGAAGTTCGCCAGCTTTCCCACGCAATCCGGTCAATGACCGTGAACTTGGTTCACTGACCGGCAGAACACTGCATCACAGGACCATCAAGATATTGAAATCGGCTCTGTGGGCTCACGAACAACTCGAAGTAATCAACATGCTGGGCGCAATTTGGTCGGTAAAAGAACCCATATACCATCCGTTGATACTCCCACTGGACGAACAACTGAAATGACAATATGATAGCGCTGTACACAAACATCGTAATACACTATGTCATACAA